AGGGCAAAGTTAATGTCGCACACAATGAAATTTTGGGCAAGAACTCTAAACAGAAGGTTAAGGAGAGAGACATCGATAGGAAAAGAACAGTTTGGGTTTATGCTAGGGAGGAGGACAACGAATTCCTCGTTGCTTGCTGCTATTAAAGAAAAGAGAGCTACATTTAGTATTTATAAATCTTGAGAAAGCGTACGACATAGTCCATGTTTCATAGAGAGAAATAGGTTCCTGAGAAGTACGTAAGCTTGTGAAGGATATGTATGAGGGAGCGCGCACCAAAACAAAGACTTCTGTCCGATTGATCGAAAGTTTTCCAGTGACGGTTGGTTTGCATCAAAGCTCTTCACTAACTCCCTACATGTTTATTTTTGTAATGAATGTACGGACAGTATTTCAATATATATTTTTTGTATTTTTATGTTATATAGTTCCTCTAACTCCCTGTTACCAATTGTTCGTCGCACCCAACTTTCTACCGTATCTTTGCCTCGATATATAGGGCTGAGCATTTTTCTTTCCTATCTTTCCAATTTCTCCGTATTTGATTTTTTCATTGTTCATACTTCAGTACCAAACAGCACTGTGGCCATTATTAACGTTTTTTATATACTAAACTTTATTTTTCTTAACACATATCTGGATTTCATCAGTGGTGTTAGGCTTCCCATCTTTTAATTTCCCTTTACCAATCTGGCATTCAGTTCCCATTCTTCCTGACCTTTCTCTTCGATGATAATAACACCCGCACCATATAAGTATAATGAACCATTCTCTTGAAGTTATATTCCGTTGATGTATTAGTGTGCGCTCATAAAAAGGCGCCGACCCTCGCTAGGACCATAGGATGGTATCATGTTATCATCGGCAGGTAAAATAAACGCTTTATTTTAAAAATGCCAGCGTTCACTGTCACAGCACAGCGCCCAGCCTCGAGCCAGGCATCGGACCATAGTATTCGAGCTTAGTATTTTTTCGACGCTCGGCCCTAGTACTCTACTATCGACATTACGAGGCGCCGACCACCGACCCTCGCTCCGACCCTCGCTCCGACCATAGGATCGTATCGATCGCCAGGTAAAATAAATGAATTAGTTTTAATGCGAGCATTCACTGTCAGTGCTATGATCTAGGCGAAGATATAATGTGGTGGTCTCCGGTGTAAACGTACCCTTTAATATGAAAGTAAATTGTCTCTCTTCTTTTTGCTTTGCATTTCCGAGTATCATGTACTTTGACTTTTCCTGGTTTATTTCCAAGTAAAAATATTTCCCTTCTTTTCCAAATCATGTTATACCATTCCTTTATTATTTTCGTTAGAATAGCAAGATCATTAGTGAAGGCCAGACATTGATGTTCATTGTTGAAGATGGATCCGGTCGTTCTAACTCGGCTTTTTATGATTATTGTTTGAAATACTATTTAAAAAGAACCGTGCATAACAAATCTCCTTGTCTAAGACGTATGTTCACTTCAAATTCATCCCATGACAATCCTTCCCATACTACATGATTAGTGTTGCCCAAATTCGGTCTTAGTCTTGCAGTCTTGGTCTTGTTCTTGCGTTTTTGCAAGACCAAGACCGTCTAATTTTAGCAAGACCAAGACCGTCTAATTTTAACAAGACCAAGACCAAAACTGACCGTGCAAGATTTAAACAAGAACAAGACTAAGCCTGCGAGACTCTTGTGTCTTGCAGTTAGAACTGAGTGTCATTTTAGGGAGTATAGTATTTCGGGTATATGATTAAAGACTCTATGAGATGTAAAAAAATATGTAATAAAAATTTGAAAGACTGGACTTCTGCGCATTACGAACAATTCCATAACCATACATACATATCGAATCAAAATATTCATTAAAAAACACATTTGACACGTGCTCAGAGGTCATAATTACAATGTAAAAATAAAATATTATTTTCCAACAGACGACTTTTTCGCTCTGAAATTAATTGTCCAGATTTTGAGAATAGCCGCCCTGTAATCATAAAATAATCTTCTTATATTGCGACGCCGACAGTAATATCGTATTGATTTTTTTTTAAATATCACTATAATGACCTTAGCTAATAAAAAATATAACACGCATTGTTACGAACCCCCTGTTAATAATTCAATTTTTTTCCCATTATAATTTAGATAGGAGGTATCTAAATAAACTAATCTTATCGGTCTAAGACTAAACACTCTTCCTGCTGAGTGTGCGATGAGATCATTCGAATAAACAAAATTTGCTGAAAGAGCACGACTAACATTAAATAATATTAAAATATATTATTTATGGATAATAAAAAGTAACGATATTGGCGACGTGCAAGTACTTGGATGTGATACGAGAAACGATCGTGCGCGAGTAGCGGAGAAATCGTGCATTTTTTTACTGCACATTTCATAAATTCGTATTGTCAATTGTCATATTTCATATTCGTTTGTTTATTTACACCTTCTGTCACTGAAGAAAATGGGATTTAGGAAATGCTGTGTTATAAATTGTAAAAATACAACAAAAAATTGTCAATTTAAGTTTTATTCGTTTCCAACTTTGAAGCACAAATTAGTACAAAGAGAAAAGTGGATTTTATATCATAAAAAAGCATAAGTAACATAACCTAAACTATGCATTATTCTTGCGCCCGATTTTAAAATCAGTTTGAAATAAATAAGAAATAAAAGTTCACTTTTAAGTGTAAATTTTAGTTTTATAACACTCACTTTCAGTTCATTTTAACCCAAAAATCAAGTTTAATGTTTATTTTATCTTTTTGAAGTTTACAAAAATGCATCAAGTTTAAGTTTTTCTGAAGATGCATTAAGATATATTCGCTGTCCAAAAGTTTACAGGGAAAGAATTAATTGTTCATACTAATATGAAGATATCATGGGCTTAACCTGCTAATTTATGCATTAGCATTATTTATGGTAATTTATTTTTCTTAATTCTTCCATTCTTTTTTGACATTTGCCACTACTAAAGCTTTTCCCTTTGACACAGTGCTTGGTTGAAAAGTTATTTGGTGATTTACTTTCTCAAATCCAGTTTTTATTATTGCATCCATATTAACAGTAATGCTGTAATTTAATAATATATTTATTTGTATTTCCACTACATACAACGTTTACCTTTTAATAGCATACCGACATAACCTCAATCTTACTTTTTCTTCTTATTCTGTTTTGGGGCTACGTCCTTGACAGTTATCCGGTAACCTCGATCTAATATGAAAGCGCAGTAAATTTTGCTGATTTACGACACCAATTGAAGTTTACGATTTGACATGAGGGACAACGATTCAAATAGTTCTAGTAAGAGTAGTGGGCGTTGGGATTATAGATCTAAAAGCAAATTTGATGAATTTTTTTAAATAATTCACGCATCCCAAATTGCTTTGTTTAAATTGTGCCTACATAGAAAGGTTAAACTGAAAAGTAAAAACAGAAACACGTCAGATTTAAGGAAGCATCTAATATCTTTTCACAAAAAGGATTTAGAAATATTTCTTCCTGAAAAACCAAAATTTGGTGCAGATACCACAGACTTTTTAATTATCGCTGAAAAAAGTGGGCATGTAAAAAATATACTTATTACCTTATTATCAATTACATATATTATGTACCTACTTCTTTATTTTGGTAAATTAATGTATTTATTAAGTAGATATCTCCTTAATTTAAAATAATTTCTATTGATTATCATCAAGTTAAGTTAGTTTTTTATATAGAAGTAGAGCTAAGATTGTTAACAACACTTATGTTGCTTTATTAAGTTGCTGTTTGTTATCACCTAAAGAATATGTGCCCTTGATACATGTATGTGGATTTTTTGCTACATACCATTTCCATTTCATTTCATATATGGTAGGGGCTCCATCAAGTTCTTGCTAGGCAGATAATGTTCTTTAAAATACAGTCAAGTTTATGTCATTAATTTACTTTTTTGTTCTGTGTTTTAACCATGTTTCAGCACATGTAAGATTATAAAATGCAAAAGTTCATTAAGACACAGATTGATTTCCGTGGGCATGGTAGATAGCTGAGTTAATTAGAGCATAGGAACTGATCGCTTAGATCGTGGCTTCAAACCCTACCTGATGTCAGTTGTTTAGACATTTATTAATTTGGTTATTCTATATTATGGCTTTATTATGTTAATTCAAGCTTAAAATGTACTTGCTCTGTTACGTTGTTCTAAGATCTAAAGTAACGTTTAATTAATAGTAATAGGCTAATGGGTAACTGGTCTTGACTTGCAAGACTCTTGCTGCAAGACCAGGACCAAGACCGGGAGTGCAATATCAAGACCAAGACTGTGTAAGTCTCGTCTTTTTCTTGCATTTTTGCAACACTATATATGATTTCGTGTGCAATAAAAGTCATTCTTACTAACCTTATAATGAAAATGCTAACAAGGGTAGAGAAACAATATGCTTTTCGTCCACCAGTACTTAACGAAGACCACGTTTTTGAAGTCAGGAGCTTCATTGGAGGGTGGGTAAAGATATAGATGATATTTTTGAGCCTATTGATTATATTTTTAATCTCTCCTACACTAGACAGTTTTATTATTATGCCATCATTCTCTATAAGGAAATTTTTATTCTCATCTGTACTTTGCCTTTTCACTAAAATGTCTCTCCCATATACCCATCAATGATTTTTTTCACTCGTGACTCGTGAGTGTTCCATCTTTATTTTTTTATACTTTCTTATTATTGTCTTCAAGTTTATTATTTCCGCTATTACACGTAGATTGAATTTTTGTACCCATCTGTATAATATATATTATAATATAAAAAACAAAAATGTGCCGAATGGGAATTATAGAAAAAAGAAAGGAACTCTGCATCCACTTAAAACCGAAAGTGCTCATTTCCAACGAACCCTTTTTAAGAAAAGTTCACCAATTTCCCTCGAAGATTTTCCCCTGGTAAAATCGGCAACAGCGCAAGAAGCTACCTTCAGCTATCACACACCCCAGCCAGTAATGAATCCGGCATCAAGTTGGCGGGATACAGTTCTAGCGTTCGCGTTTTAAGTGGTGTAATAAAAAGTGTACAAAGTAGGCGTAGAACGATCGAGTAACGTGTGCCAGTCGAAAGGATGGAAACAATCGTGGTGTTCATGTAAGATTGCTTGATGTTTTGTTGCGCTTTTCATTCATAAAAAACGAGCGGGAGCTGAGGATACAATTACAGCGCAAATTAGTATAGTAGTTGCGCGTAAGGCGGGGAATCTTTGTTTTGGTTTTTCGATACTTCCGTTCTCTTGCTTTTTCATTGTGCATGGTTAAACTGTTTTGTTAATTAAAGAGGGAGAACTAGGGATGTGAGTCAAGCCACTCAACTTTAGTAAAGTTATTACATTGAGTTTAAAAAGTGTTAGTTAATATTAATTTTCTTTACTAACAAATTCAATTTTATAAATAAAATACTAAAAAATGGTGTTAAACTTTGCGTAAACTTTATTTTAGTTTAAACTACAACAGGAGTAGTGTCAATGTCAATTATAGTTTTCAAGTAAAGAATATGTTTTAAGATTATGTGTGACAGCTAACGATGAGATTTTACAGCAAAATTATTGAGAATAAATTTAATGTGTTATTAAGATTAATATCTATGTTATCGTTGATTATTCTTATGCATAATATCAATTGGTTTCAAGAATAATATTTTAGTTTGAATAATCTAATAAATGGTAGTGGAATATTTTTCTTAAAGTTTCTCACTGTTTGTCCGATGTAATTTTTTGGATAATTCCTATAAATTAATCTGTATGACCTTCCCTTTATGATTTTTTGTCTTTAGTTACCTTCTGCTTTTTTAACTCTTAACCACCAGTAACGAAAATTAATTTTTTAATTATACGTTTCCTAGCAGTGAATATATAGGTCTTTTCTAGCTCTTACATTTTTCAGTCGGAAGCGTTTTTTCGTCCCGGTTCATATTTTAATATTACCTTCATTGTGGATTATGACCCTAAAAGGTTAAATTTGTCTCCTAGGTAAATGGGTTGTGGATATCCCATTTTACGTATTATAATAATTTTTTGAACATCTCTGTCGCTCCTATTATTTGTAACACACTTTCCTTCGTTCTGCTTTTTTCTAAAGTCCAATATTTGACTCTTTATAATAATATACAAAAATATAATAATATGTTTTATGAACCGATAACCGTTTCCCTCATTCGTTGAAAGGTTGATCTAGCATTTTGTTTTCTCGCTCTTATTTCAATATATTAAACTCTTGGTCAATTATTGCTCATACAAAGAGCCAGTGTTATTCTTATCTATCATATATACCTACCTACGTTAAATATAACAGCTACAAGTGATTACGTGATGGGTTGTTGAAAGTGCATTTGTGCACTTCCGTTTTAGTATTTTTTGAATGAGTGTTTTTTATTTTATATTACATAAATATTTTGTAGTAGCATTTTGACGTTTCTTTTTTTTATACAAAATGACATGGTATACTAATAGTTTATATTTCAAACCTAGTTACTTAAATATTTCCTCCATCACGTTTTTTAATTCTTGTTATTTATATATTTATGAACGTAATTTTACGATTTTTGGAAACGTACACGTTGTAAAATCCACCTAAGTAATCAGATCTAAAAGTGTTTTCCTTACATACATTATTAATTGATACATAAAGCAAATCAAAAATAATTAAAATATGCATCATCATCATCATCATCTTTGGCTCTACAACCCTGGGTGAGTCTTGGCCTGTTCAAGAATTAGTCTCCATTCCCACCTATCTTTCGCCCTTGCTTTCCAATTTCTGACCCCTAGATTCCTCAAGTCATCTTCGACTTGAGCTTTAAATCTAGATCTTGGTCTCCCTCTCTTCCTGGTTCCTACTGCTCTTGATATAATACCTGTCTTTGGGGGTCTCCAGTGTCCATTTTTTCAAGGTGTCCTAGCCACATTAGTCTATTAATTCTAATAGACCGGACAATGTTGCATTTTTCATAGCATTGATACATCTCAAAATTGTAGCGCCAGCGCCATATCCCGCTTTCTTGTACTCCTCCGTATATGTTCCCAAGTATTTTTCTTTCATAGCAGCCTAACAATTCTTCGTCGCTTTTTACCATAGTCCATGTCTGTGACGAGTATGTCAGGACAGGTTTAATAAGAGTTTCACATATTAGTATCTTGGTTTTTATGCTTATTATGTTAAGAACTGCTTTAGTCCAAAGTAAGCTCTGTTCGCCAGGTATATTCTTCTTTTAATTTCTACGCTTACTAGATTTCTGTTATTTAGTTGTGTTCCAAGATATATAAACTTCGAGACCCCTTCGAATGTGTGTGCTTCTGTCACCAGATTTTGTTGTGCCACTATTTGTGTGGTGTTTGTGTCCTTCATGTATTTTGTTTTTTATACGTTGACCTGCAGTTCCATTGCCTTCGCGGCTTCTAATGTTTCAAAAGCCTATATCAGGTCTCTTTTTGTCCGTGTTACTATGTCAATGTCATCTGCATAGGCCAATATTTGTACACTTCTATTGATGATCGTACCTCTGGTTGTTATGCCCGATTTCTATATGGCTGTTTCTAGCGCGATGTTAAACAATAGATACGATAGAATGTCTCCCTGGCGTAATTCAGTATGAGTTTGAAAATACCTTGACACTCTGTTTTGTACCTTGACTTTGCACTTAACTTTCGAAAGAGTTGCGTTTACCAATGTTATTAGATGCGACGGAATATCTAGTTCTGCCATGGCATTATAAAGTGCGCTTCTGTCTACACTCTCATAAACACTTTTAAAATCTATGAAGAGGTGTTGGGTATTCCATTTTCATATGCCCTTTCTAAGGTTTGTCTGAGAAGGAAAATCTGATCAATTGTTGACCGTGATCAATTAAAATATGCAATAATTCAAAATTCTCAAGGCTTATTTATGGCCAAGCTATGGGAAAACGATGGGAGGAGAATAGAGAGTCGGTGTAAAATTGAACGAGAAAGAAAAATTGAAGTCCAGTTGAAAGCAGTGTGTTACAAGTTGTGTTTTTGTGTGGTTAATTCGATGATAGCAGAATGGTGAATGGCGAAAAGAGATCAAGTCCTTGGAGAACTTGGACAGTTTGTGATACCACAGTCAAGGAAAATAGGCGTCCGTCAAAAAACGTCGCCGAGCCTACATTACAGGTCAGTCAATGTATTTGTGACATAAGAGTTGTGTTTGTATTGCAAAGCATATGTGTTTATGAAACCCATATAAATTTGTTATTATACGGGCATAACGTATTTATCCATAAATTCTTAGAGTTATAAAGTTATTGTTTTACATAAATTCATTTGAAAGTAAAATTAACATCAAGATGTAACAATAAAATACTGAAAACTTTGTTTTAAAAACTTCCACAAAATTGATTTTATACTCTTATCACTACAGCTGTTTCGGCTGATTGCCTTTCTCAAGTGATCTATTTTTGGCATGCGTTTACACTTTATAGTCTTTAATGAAATAGGTTGAGAATGGGAGAACTGTTTGTCTCAATTTGGTCATTCAGAGTTATATCTCTGTTTTTTAATTTTGATTTCCATAGATTCAAACAAAGATAGCTTAAAGTCTTTATTTGAATGTCGTCGTTAGGAATGGAATATCTCCAATGTAAAAATATCCTAATTTTACAGGAGAGACAAAAAACAGTTAAATAACGCTATTTTACATTGCATTAAATTATTAATTAATTTGTTTGGCCCAACTAAGATTGATATTGATATTAAGGTGAAATTGTTTTTTTAAATCAGTACAAAACATTAAACTAATAAAAAAAAATATTACAAACGCGCACATTGGAGAAATTATGAGTGATTGAACCGGTACATAGCAGATATTTCAAATATTGTGTATGGCATGTCATAGTACTATACACCTTGAATTTGGTGTTATTGAGGGAAAAAGAGTCATATAAACCGTAAAGTGATTGGTATTATCTTTATTTCAAATAAACAAACTTTGACATGTAGTATCAGTGTATGATATTTCTACGAACACCCCCGAAAGTAATATTTTTTGTTGATTTTAGGAAGAGTATCGTAAAAGTGATGATGATCTTTTTTAATAACTGATTTGAGGTCTTGCAGATGTTCGAACTTGTCTTCTGATATTTCAGGAGGTGTCTTGAAGAGCGAGTTTTCATAAACTGACATGTCTTGGCTTTCTCTTCTGTGTGGTAGTAGCTTCCAGTTATCTGAGTAATCAGTGGTGTAGTATATCTCTCCGTTGGGACTATATTTTAATTGTCATATCTACAACTTGCGGATCTTTGGCATTTTTTCCAGGTCTTATTGAACGAAAGTTACTGACAATAGCGTACTTTTTAAATAACGTAAAATCCACGTTTTTAATATTATACGGATGTTTTGGCCGAGCAAGACGCATTTTAGCAATGTATTCCATCGGTGAATTAATTGGAGGCTGAAAGTAATGTTCCAAAGTTGAATGAACTCAATCTGCTTCCATCATCGTATGGCCTTTTTCAAGATATAACTGCTGTATTGTAAGGGATTTTGCTCTTGCTGAATCACTTAAAGCACTGGCTTATGTATAGATATTTTCTCTGCTTCTAAAACAGCTTTAAACAACTTGATATGAGCAACTGACTGCTTTCTATCGTCGCACCATTACTTATATAGTCTGTACATGTAATTTTTTGTTATGAAACTGTTATCAACATATACCCTGATAGTAGATGCTCTTCAATAGTGTGAAGGAACTTTAGGAATATCTTGCAACCATTCCTTAACATTCTTTTCTTTGCAAATTTGTCTCATTTTTCTTGGAGTAATCTTGTTTTTTTCTTGTTGAATGTTGGAATCTTCTAGACTTTTTCTAGAAGTATCAATTTCATAAGTGGCTGGCTCATTTGAGACCCATATTGAGACCTAAATTTAATATGTGCAAAAACATAATTCTTCATACCTTGAGGTAACTTCCGTCTTTAGAAACCAAAAAGTAGTCATGAGCACTCTGCTTTTTGGACCTTTTGTCTGAATTTTGAATATCTTCTCGGCGCCTTCGCACTGCTCTTGCCCGAACAATATTTTTAACAAGATTTCTTTTATGTTCCCACGAGGTTAATGTCCAAAATTAAAAAAAAAATTG